GGCTGAGGCTGAGGCCGAGGCTGAAGGCAGACTGAGGCTGAGGCTGAAGCAGACTGAGGCTGAGGCTGAGGTGGCTGAGGCTGAGGCTGAAGCAGGCTGATGCTGAGGCAGGCTGAGGCTGAGGCTGAGGCTGATGCAGGCTGAGGCTGAGGCAGGCTGAGGCTGAGGCCGAGGCTGAAGGCAGACTGAGGCTGAGGCTGAAGCAGGCTGAGGCTGAGGCTGAGGCAGGCTGAGGCTGAGGCTGAGGCAGGCTGATGCGGAGGCAGGCTGAGGCTGAGGCTGAGGCTGATGCAGGCTGAGGCTGAGGCAGGCTGAGGCTGAGGCCGAGGCTGAAGGCAGACTGAGGCTGAGGCTGAAGCAGGCTGAGGCTGAGGCTGAGGCAGGCTGAGGCTGAGGCTGAGGCAGGCTGATGCTGATGCAGGCTGAGGCTGAGGCTGAGGCTGTGACTGCGCCTGCCGTTGCCACTGCGACTGTCATCGCGAATGCGACTGCGAATGCGAGAACAGCAGAATTCTACAACTGGATTATCATCTGAATATTAAGGGGAATGCTTCCAGATATGCTTCTACACATCGCTGTTAGGTTGCTTTGCCAGGATAATCTTCTCTTTGCCTCCTCCGCCCACGCCTTGCGGCCCGCCCCTCGCAGTCTCTTCCCTCCGCCTCCCTGGGCGAAGCCCCTGGGGAAGGGAGGCTCCGAGTCAGGCCACGGCATCTCGCCCACGGCACCGTCCCACCACCACCACGGATCTCCTCCCGTTCGGGCGCACGCTGCAGATACCGCTAGCAGAAGCATTGGTTGATATCGAACAGTTTTTCGATACTATTTGCACGGAGTACGTCTGCGGGGTGGCCATCAGTCTTGAGTATCCCACCACCCCGCTTATGCACGCTATGATTGTCCACCAAGCAGCCAGGTTCTTGTCATCAGCCTCTTTAGGATGCTCGTCGCCCACGTGCCCGACCGACAGTCCTGCAAGGCTGTACCCAGTCAACATCTTTAGCCTGAGCATTTCTGTTTAACATCTTGGAAGACTTACACTATCAGTTTCCACGTATTCGTTTTCGTACCTGGGTGGACGACCTGAGATTGAGAGTTTGGGGCTCGTCTAATGAGATCCTGGAGGTGGTTCCTGAGGCCATGGCGTTCCTGGGTAAGAAGCTCGAGGCCCACGGGTGCAACCTCTCTCCCAAGTCCTGTGTCCTCGCGTCGGTGCCTGGGCTGAGCGTCAAAATCAGCGAGCGTACCAAGGAGTTGGGGTGGGCCGTCAAGACCAGTATCCAGGGGAGGGACCTCGGCCTGGACACTACCTTGGGGCTTCGGAGGCGCTTGAAGATTCGGAAGGAACGCTTCAAGAAGGGGCTCCAGAGGCTCAACGGGATCACCAACCTCACCAGGACCACCAAGAAGAGTCGGAGGCTGGTCAACACGGGGGCCCGTCCACAGCTCTTCTGGGGCCAACAGGGGCAAGGTATTGCGCCGACGGTTCTCAAACAAGTTCGGGGACGACTTGTCCGAGGGCTCGGATATGTTCCCAAGTATGGATGCACGACCGCAGGATTTGCCTTGTCAGCACGGGGACAGCAGCATGAGGATCCGGCGCACTACCTCCCGATGCAAGTTGTCAAGACCTAGTTCGACATGGTCAACCAGAATCCAGAGTTGCACAAAGCGATATGAAAGAGATGGTCTCCAACA